GCAGCCCGCGTGGCCGCGCCAGGGCGAGGTCGCAGTGAGGATCGCCGTGCCCCCCACGCCGAGCGGTTATGAAATGGTCTCAGAATGCCCTACTTACCCGAAATATCTTGCACACTTCACATTTTCTCCAGGAGGAAGCCATTACGAGGGAGCGGGCCTGGCCTCTACCCGCGGGGTCACCGTGCGCCTTTCTGCCTCACCCCGACACGTTGCCCTCCGCAGTCCTCCGGTGCCAATTCTGGGTGAACCCCTTCAGGCTAAGGTATTAACGATGCCTGAATTAAAATGCACCTATGAGAAGTCTTTGTTAAAAGTCTTGAAGGATTTTTACATCCAGGGCTGCCATGTCATTGCAGTATTCAGAATGCTGCTTCATGTCTCTAAAACTCATTTCTTCATCTGCCAAATGAGATTGGTGGTGTAGTTAGATAGAAATGAGAAGAAATACAGATGAAGTCCATTGTCCAGCCTTTGCTATTCACCGGGCAGGATCCTGCATAGGTTAGGAAGTGGAGTTTGCCTGGCTTCAGACTCGTGGCGATCCTCCTGCCTCAGCCTCCCCAGTGCTGCAATTACAGGTGTGCACCGCAGCACCCAGCCTGACATATTTGATTGTCTTCAGTTCCTGAATCCTGAAGCACCCTTGGTGCCCTCCGGCCTGCCCCATTCCCATGGGACTAAGCATGGTAGATTTTCCTGCCCACCCAGCCCCTCCTCTGCACCCTGGCACTGCCAGCAGCTCTCCCAGCCCCATCCTTCCCAGCATTCCCACATGGTTGTTATGTGACCTGGTGACTCCCTGACAAGCCTTCAAGGGGTCCCATATGGCCCAGAGCTGCCCCTTCTCTCTGTCCAGTCTCCCAACTGACCTTGAATCTGCCACACTGGATTCCTCATCCTTAAAACCCCTGCCAGGTCCCTCCTATAACCAGCAGGGCCACCCCTGGCCCCTCTGAGAAGTGAGAAGCCTCCTTGGGCTCCCAGCTCTCTCAGTGCCTAGACCATCATAGATATCTGGTCCTTATGCTGTGATGTCAGAACTGGAAAGTGCTAAGTCTGTGCAAAGCAGGAGCCCACAAGTGAGCATGACAGGAACACAAAAACCTGGGCTGCGGTGCAGCTTGGTGGCACAGGCCTTGCCTAGCACTGCAGGACCTGGGTTCCCATCCCAACACCCCTCTCCTGCAAAAAAGAAGGGCATGGAATGGGAGGTGGAAGAGGAATAATCAGAAAGCCATGTGTAATAACTAGAACTCAAATAAGCGTCACATCACTGCATTTTTATACATAAGAATGATGTGGACTCAGGAAATACGTGAAAGAACTCAAAAGCCAGGTGTGGCACGTATCTGTAATCCCATTGCTCAGGAGGCTGAGGCAGAAAGATCCCTGTGATTTCAAGGCCAGTCTGGGCTACATAGAGAGACCCTGTCTCAAAAAAAAGGCCAGGGATTTAGCTCAGTGGTTCCACCGCCTGCCTCCCAAGCACAAGGTCCCAAGTTCAGTCCCCGGTACCAAAAAAAAAAAAAAACAAAAAAAAAAACAAAACTCAAATTTGCTATAGTTATAAAGAAACTAATATGATTTGTAAGCAAATTTAAAGCTCAGAAAGGGAGAAGGCTTCTAAATTGTAGCTTTCATAAGTTAAAGCTTCTAAATTATGGCTTTAATAGTTAACGTATAATAAAATAAGTAGTCTTTCACATAAAAATGCCACGAGGCACAAATCCCAGTGGCAGACACCCAGGACCTTTGGAGTACCAGCTGCACCAGCCTCCTGAGGGTTCAGGTTCTAGCACCACTGGTAGGTCAGGCTGCATACCAGTCTGTCCTGACTCAACAGCCATACCATGGGGTGGGCATACCTGTTAGTCCCAAGATTTAAGGAGGCTGAAGCAAGTGGATTGCACCAGGGCCTGTGATTTAACTTAGTGGTTCTGCTGCCTGCCTCACAAGCCCAAGGTTGGGAGTTTGATCCCTGGTACCAAAAAAATTGCTCCAGCCTGGAGAAACTTAGGCCCTGTCTCTATATCAAAAGCGTTGGGATATAGCTCAGTGGTAGAGCATCCCTTTGTCAATCTCCAGTCACACGCATGCACACGGAGCTCCTCCAGCCCCATCCTGAGATGAATTTTGGCTTGGTCACCAGGCACCCACGTCACCCTGGGAACTAGAGGAAGGAGGCAGGAGGGACCTGGCACAACCTAAGCCAGGCAACCCCAGTGCTCTGGTGAGGGTTAGGTTAGGGTCTGGTCCTCAAGGTCGGCAGTAGGAGCTGCAGGCCCCGCCTCCTCTGCTGTGCCTCAGGACCTGCTCCTTCTATCTTTGTCTCCCACTCCAGCTAGAAAAAAAGAATTTCCAGCCAGGTGTGGTGGCATAAGCCTGTAGTCCCAGCCCTCAGGAGGCTAAGGATGGAGGCTCACCATGAGTTCAAGGCCAGCCTGAACTACACAGTGAGATCCTGTCTTGAACCAACAACAAGAAAAAAACAAAATAAAATATAAAGTCTGGAGACTGCTCAGTGGTACAGTACCAAAAATATCCTTTTCATGATGGTGACAATAGGTAGATGTGGCAACATACCCTATAATTCAAGCACTCTGGGAGGCTGAGGCAGGAGGATGGAAAGTTTGAGCCCAACCTGGACAACATGGTGATTTAACAAGACTATCTCAAAATAAAAAATAAAGGTCTGTGGGTATAGCTTGGCTGAGGGCCCTGGGTCAACCCCAAGTTCCAAAAATAAATACATAATTAAAATACAAAGAGGGCCGGGGATTTAGCTCAGTGGTTCCGCCACCTGCCTCACAAGCACAAAGACCTGAGTTCGATCCCTGGTACCAAAAAAGAAAAAAGAGAGACAAGACTGGGGGTTTAGTTCAGTCTTAGCTCACTCGTTCTGCCACCTGCCTCATAAGGGCAAAGACCCGAGTTTGATTCCTGGTACTAAAAACGGTACCAAAAAGAAAAATTTAAAAAACAATAGCCCATGAAAAGGAGCCCAAGGGCTGGCTCTCCCTTAGCAGGACCACTCACAATACTGACCTTGTCACCTGTGGAGACAGTCGGGTAACCCACTCAGCCTTCTCCAAGAGCCACCACTGAGTGCTCATGGGAAAGGTGGCAGCAGTACCAGAGATCTGGGAGACCCAGGAGACACAGGTGCCCAGAGCCTGCCCGTGTCCAAGGGCAGCATGAGGGCCTCATAGGGACACCTGCACCTAGGGTCATTCTGTTTATATTTTGGGATCCCACTTTGCTGTTTTCCATGGTACTTCACCATTAACATTCCTGCTACTGAGCCTGTAATCCCAGCACTCTGGAGGCTGAAGCAGGAAGATTGCCATGATTTGGAGGCCAGCTTGAGGGATAATGGAGACTGTGTCAAAAAATAAATAAAAGTAGCTGGGCATGGTGGCACACACCTGTAATCCCAGAACTCAGGAGGCTGAGGCAGGAGGATCGCTGTTAGTTTGAGACCAGCCTGGGCTACATAGTGAGTTCAGGTCAGTCTCAACTATGTAGTGAGACCCTGTCTCATAAATAAATAAATAAATAAAAATAAAAATAAAAAATTCCCACCATCAATACACAGGGCTTACCCACACTCAGCTAGCTGCACTCCCAGTTGCTAAATTGCCCAGGGTGGGCTCAAACTTGAGATCCTCCTGCCTCAGCCTCCTCTCCCAAATGTCTGGGATTACAGGCCTGTTCCATCAGATCTGGCTTCTATTATATGTATTTGGGTGTAGTTGCTGTTCAGTGGCAAGACACCCTGGCTTGCACTGGGCCCTGGGTTTCATCACCTGGGGAAGGGCAGGAGTACAGTGCCTGTGGGGACAGCAGCCGCACTGCTGGCAACTGGCCGACCTGGCTAGTGGTATCCTGGGACTGTGGCTCTCCCTAGGTGCAGGCACAGAGAGCAGGGGAACTGGGAGGGATAGAGCCAGTGTCCCCAGGGTCCCCTATCACCAGGCAGCAGCTGCTCCTGTTCCTTGCCAGAGGGAGCCAGGAGGCTGCAGCTGGGCACAGGTGCTGGGCTGAGCACACAGCCAGCCACAGCCTGGATCACCACAGGAGCCTGCTGAGCTGCACCCCGATGGGAAGCTCACCTCAGACCATGCGGACTGCACCCCAGGGCGCCGGTCTTTGCACAGAGCACACTTTGCCTTACTCTCTACCCTTCCAGTTTTGTTTTTTGAGACTGGGTCTTGCCATGTAGCCCAGGCTGATCTCACTATGTAGCTGCTATGCAGTGAGTTCAAGGGCAGCTTCGATTATGTGGCGAGACCCTGTCTCAAAAACCAGAAAACAAAGGCATGGCTGTAATCCCAGAACTTGGGAGGCTGAGGCAGAGGATCGCTGTGAGTTCGAGACCAGCCTGAGCTACATAGTGAGTTCCAGATCAGTCTCAACTACACAGTGAGACCTTGTCTCAAAACAAAACAAATAACAGTGAAGAGGCAAGAGTACTACTGATGAGTGCATGAGGCTCTTGGACATCTAGATGTGAACCCTAATAAGCAGTGAGTATGGAATGGCCAGGGTATTCAGCATTACAGTATTAACTTCCTCTCTTCGTACTGTGGATTGAATGCTACATCCCCAGTCCTTTTTTATTTTGAGACAGTGTCTCTCTTGTCATTAAATTGCTCAAGCTAGGCTTGAACTTTTTCTGGGGGGGTGGAGTCTTTAAAAGTCTCATTTTGCAGTTCAGGCTGACCTCAAACTCAAGGTGATCTTCCTGCCTCAGCCTCTAGAGTGCTGGAATTACCAACATGTCTTCCCAGTTTCCTCCTGATTCAACAGCTTGGTTTTTTTGTAGCTGAATAATCCATTGTCTGGATGTGCATAGCTTATTTACCCAGTCACCTATTGAAGGACATTTTGGTTGCTTCCAAGTTTTGGCAGTTTCAATTTTTTAAAATTCAAGATGGGGATCTCATATGGGTAGGATGGTCTTGAGTTTATGAGCTCATGATCCTCTTGCCTCGGCCTCCAGACATTTTTATAACAATGAATAATACTGCTGCAAACGTGTGTGCAGGTTTTTGTCTAGGCACTAGTTTTCAATTCATTTAAGTAAATGCCAAGGAGCACATTCACTGGACCATAGGGTGAGTGAATTTTAGTGTTGTAAGAAAGCATCAGACCTAGCCAGGCGTGGTGGCGCACTCCTGTAATCCCAGCCCTTGGGAGGCTGAGGCAGGAGGATCACTGTGAGTTTGGGACCAGCCTGGGTCACATAGTGAGTTCCAGGTCAGTCTCAACTAGATAGTGAGACCATGTCTCAAAAAAAAAAAAAAAAAAAGCATCAGACCAGCAAGCAGTGGAGGGGATCTATTGCTATTTTGTGTTACTTTCTTTTGATTTTTTGAGACAGGGTCTCACTATGTAATTGAGACTGACCTGGAACTCACTATGTAGCCCAGGCTTGTCTCGAACTCACAGCGATCCTCCTGCCTCAGCCTCCCGAGTGCTGGGATTACAGGCATGTGCCACTGTTTAACTTTTTTGAAAAACCTTCAATGTGCATTTACTCTATCAAGGCAGCACCCCTGGGTGCTGGGTGGGGAGCAAGCAAAGCTCTGGAATGGGTTTATTTTTGGCACTGGGGATCAAACTCAGGAACTTGTGCCTTTTTGGTTGTTTTTTGTTTTGAGACAGGGTCTCACTATGTAGTTGAGACTGATCTGGAACTCACTGTGTAGCCCAGGCTGGTCTTGAACTCAGAGCGATCTTCCTGCCTCAGCCTCCCAAGGGCTGGGATTATAGGTGTGTGCCACCACACCAGCTGGAATGGTTTTTTTTTGGCAGTGCTGGGGCTTGAACCTGGGCCTCCTGCCCCACACCCAGCCTCTCCTCAGGTTCCTGTGAGGAGAAGCAGAGCAGGGAGCAGACCTGCAGCCTGGAAGAGGCTGGGTTTGGTCACAAAACAGCAGGCAACACTGGGGGGACAGCAGGGATGTCTGTTACAGCACTGAAGCTGGGTGGCCCAGGCCAGGCCTGGCCAGCAGACTCTTGCTTTTGTTTTGTTGCTTTGCCCAGGCTGGCCTGGAACTCCAAGATCCTCCTGCTTCAACCTCCAGTGCTGTGATTACAGGAATGCATTACACCTGCCTTTGATGCAAGGATTTTTCTGAGAGACTGAGAAGCCCCAGGGCCCCAGTGGAGAAGCAGGAGACTGGGAAGGAGGTGGGCAGAAGCCATGGGTCCACTGAAGGGTCCCTGCCCTATTAAGATGCTATTTTGAGCCCCTTCCTTCAAAAGTTGGAGTGTCACTGTCACTGTAATCAAGTCCTGGATGTGAGGCTAAGTAGGAAGGCCCAGACTCCAAAGAGCTGGGGCGCTTGAGGTTGGGGAGGAGCCCATAAATCCTCTCTGCTCACACCTGAGACAGGAACAGCTTCCAGATGAGCAGAAATAAATTCTGAGCTACATAGTGAGACCCAGTCTCCAAATAAAAACATCTTCACTGATTATTTTTTTCTCCCTTTATCTCTGCTCTCTTATTTTCTTTCTTTGGGTTTAGTTTGTCCCATCTCTAGTTTTTTGGAGATAGTCTCCTTATGCGGTGCTGGTAGGCTTGCATCGAACTCTGGCAATCCTCCTGCCTCACCCTCCAGAGGGCTGGGATTACAGGTGTGCACCACCACAATGGCTCATTGGGTAATTTCCACATTTGTGAATCTCCCACTTGCTTTCTGCTCTATACCTCTAGTCTTGTGGTGGGTGATCAGAGATGGGATTTCAGCATCTTGCCATGTAGTGAAAGCTGCAGTCCATCCTGGAGGGCCATATCTGGCTGCTGGTGCAGTGTCAGGCTTAGGGCCAGACCATTTGTTTTAGTTAGGTAAGCCTTGGCACTATGTATGAACACAGCCACCACCTTCCCAGACTGGCCCCACAGCCCTGCTCCTATCACCCCCCACAACCCACCCCAGGAGCCAGGCTGATTCTTCCTGGGCTGTGAGCGCCACAGAAATGGCCTTGCGCCTCGGGAGCCAACGTCTACACTTCCTGTCACTCGGGTGGCTTCTGTGCCTGGCTCACAGTGGGTGGGCACAGGGCTGCCATCCCGAAGTGCTGCTCTTCCTCCTTCAATTCTCTGCACTGATGATGGCTCCCAGGAGGTCTGCAGCCTTCTGCTCATCCCAGCCTCCCAGGGCACCAGATGCTGCACAGGCAGGCGGGGTGGGGGATGAACAGTGCCCTCCTCTGCACTGAGTATGTCTGCTGTGCTCCCGACACTTTTCTCCCTTTCTACTCCCTGGACCTCAAAACTGGCAGCATAGCCAGCTATGGTGGTGCACACCTGTTATCTCAACACTCAGGAGGCTGAGGCAGGAGGATCACTCTGGGTTCCAGGTCAAAGCGAGACTCCGTTATTTCTCAAAAAAAACAAAAACAAAACAAAACAAAACAAAAAAACCTGGCCACAGACGATCCGGAGAATAAGAAGTGCAAGCTGCCTGCCTTTCCACTCCTGCCACTAGGCCCCAACCAGGAGCCCCCTGTGCACAGCCAGGACACCAGCCCTCTCTCCTCCCTGGTTCCTGGAGATGCAGCCCAGTCTCACCTGTGTACCTTGCCAGGGCAGCGGCAGAGAGCCCAGGGCTGGGCAGGCCCCTGGCTGGGCTGGTGCCCTGCAGAGGACAGATTGCACCCTGCCCCAGGGCTGTCCCGAGAAGGTGACATGGTAGCAAATGTCTCAGCCAAGCCTGGGACACTTGGCAAAACAGCCCTCCAGCTAAAGCCAACTTGGGAAATTCCAGGCAGAAGGAAATTTACCAGGAGGCGGGAAAAGCCAAAGCCAGGCACACCAGAATCCAACAAAGGCCCCCAGAGCCACCCATGGGTGGGGCCTATCCCCAGGGAGGTCCCAGCTCCAGCATGAAGGAGGGATGGCCAGGCCCGCCAGGAGGGAGTCCTTTAATAGAGATCGCACAGACAGGAGACACAATAGGCCCTGCGCCAATAGAGGGTGGCGTCCTCTGGCCACCTGGGTGTGGGCCGCAGGCGGAGACAAGAGGTGGTTTAAAAAACACAGCTAATTCTTCACTTTCACAGAAAAGGGGACGGAGAGCAGCCCACTGGAGAATCTATACACCGAGCCGAGTCCAAGAGCCCCCAGGCTGGAGCTTGGTCCCCTCCTCACTGGCTGCCCCCCAGCTGTCCCCAGGGGAAGGGGCAGAGAGCGCAGGGCCTGGGCAATAGGGGGACATGCGACTGGCACAGCCCTGGCGGCTGGCATTCTACACTATGTACATCATTGTGCTTTACAGCCACAGCGCACGCTGGCCGGGCTGGCGCTGGCACTGGGCGGCCAATGGGCACCCGGCTCTTCCTGGAGACTGGAGATGGGGTGGGCGGGGAGCAGGCTGGGCAGGGACAGGCAGGGCAGAGCGGTGGTATGGGCCAGGGCCTGGGCCCGCAACCCAGCATGGATGATCCGGCCAGCGTGTGTGGGAAGCCTGGAGAGAGGGCTGCCAGTGTCCTGCGGGGCTGGGGGTCCGGCCCAGGTGACGTCTCTGGGTGCATTCCCACAGGCTGGGCTCACACAGAATCAGTTGTTCTCGAAGAGAGAGAGCAGGTCATCATTGCTGTTTGTGGGGAGGTCGGGGGGGCCTAGGTAGGACAGCAGCTCGTCGGGGTTCGTGAGCTCCGGGAGCAGCTGGGGACAAAGCAAGCGCATTAGCAGCTTTGGTCTGAGATCTGTCACCCCAGCTGGCCGGTGGCCCTTGTTCCTGCCCATGCCCAGGCCCAGCGGGCGCAGTGCAGCCCCTCTCCCAGTGACACCAGCTGCAAGGCTGTGAGGGGCCCAGGAACAGCTCACAATGTGCCTCTGTACTCCACCAGGAGCCAGGACACCCCAAGATAGCCCAGCTGTGCACTGGGGGTACACAGGCCCAAAAGGGGTCCCCCAAGTGGTTTTTGGGGGCGAGTGTAGGTGGGAGACTCTCAGCTGCTCCTTCTATCCTTCCTGTGTGGTTTCAGTGAGCAGGGACCTTCACCAGGCGTGTGCTGGGCTACAGGACTGTGCCGCCAACCTCTACCCAGTCTCCTCTGCCGCTTTGCACCGCACACTGCAGTGCCTGCCACCAGGCCAGGCCAAGAGTCACTACACACAGCTCCTGGCAACCGAGTAGCTGACTTTATCTGGGCAGGGTCCCCCTGGCGCCACTGTCTTGCCTTTCACAAAGCACGGTGGCCAAGCCAGCTCCCACTCGCTCCCGGCCCGGTACTCACATCCAGAGCTGGTTCCGGGCCCTCCCCCGGCCCGGCCATGCTGGGGGGCCCCATCACGCCTGTGGCCGGGTTGAAGGCCAGCTCACTGACGGGCCCTGAGCTCGCCTGGCCCAGGGGTGGCCGGGACGTAGGGGGAGGGGTCGGGTGGTGCAACTGGGGGTCTGGGGGCGCCCCAAGGTTGGATGCGTGCAGCCCCGGTGGCCCGGGATTGTGGGCTGGGTCCAAGTGGCCTGCTGGTGTCATCTGAGGAGGAAGAGACTTGTTAAAACAGCTCCAGGGCTCCCTGTTGCGGCCCCATTCCCGCTACTCCGCAGCACGCACTGACCTGGCCAGGGAGGCAGGGAGCAGCTTTCTCTGGAGTCAGGAGGCTGCTGGGAATGTCCGACTGGTAGGAGATGGGGGGCGGCCCCGGGGTGAACTCCACAAGGCTTGGGGTGCTGGGTGTGGTCGGGGGGAAGGATTCGGGGAAGGGCCCAGGCCCCAGGAAGCTGGAACCTGTGGGGAGAGGCTGGTGTGGTGGCAGCAGGACCGGTGGTACCCACAGTGCTAGTGAGCCTAAAGTTCTTGGCAGCACCTGGGGTACCTGGCCTCAGGACAACTCGAAGAGGGGGACCACAACACAGCCACACGCAGGTGGGTCCCCAGCCACACGCAGACTGGCCCAGATATAGCCAGTCCGTAGGCCACAGCCAGGCCTGCGTTTGCTCATGAACTAGGCGTGTGGCCTTTTGGACTCACCCTGGCCCGGGTAGTCGCTGGGTACAGGGCCCGAGGGGGGCTGCAGGGGAGCGAAGGGGGCACTGCCGGGGCCCAGGGCTGCAATCATCTCCATCACGCTGGGCATGAGCACATGTGAGGGGCTCACGGTGCGGCAGCGCTTCAGCACCGGCCCATCCGGCTCCTCCTTGATGTGCACGTCGGGCTTCACGGGGACGGGCTTCCAGCTGCACGTGGGGTCAATGGTGATCTCCTCGTAGTCGGAACTGGGCAGGCACAGGGCAGTGGTCACTCACCCTGCCTACCAGCACACCAGGTCTGGGGTGGACAGGCTGCCCCCTGGTGGCCCAGACGCTGGGGTGGCAGGAGAAAGCCACTTACTTCTGGATGTAAATCAGGATGCCTAACATGTACTGGTCTACCTCCAGCCCCTCCAGCAGTGCTGTCTTGCTGTGGAAGACGGAGGGAACTCGGTTCAGTGGCCTTGCCAGCCTTGTGCTGGGAAACAGGCCTGTCATTCCCAGCCCTGTCAACCACATGAGGCGACTGCGCTATGACCCTGTGTGAGGCGACTGTACGAAGCACACGTGTGGTAACCTCGGGCGTGAGGTGACCTTGAGTCAGGCCACCACCCCATGTGAGGTTGTGAGGTTTCCACCCCGAGCCGAGCCGAGCCACCCTTCCCTGGCCTGTGTATCTGAGGAAGGCAGCCCCTCCTCGCACTCACAGCAGGACTCACTTGCACACAGGGCACCGCCAGGTCCCCCGTTCACAGTTGAGCTGCAGGTAGGACTCCAGGTCAAAGCACTGCAGGGAGGAGGGGACACAGGGTCCTCAGGGTGGGCCTGTGCTCTGTTTGGGGGATTTGCTACCATTTCTCTCTATGGAACAAGGTGGGCCACACCCCAAGCAGCCCTTGCCAGAACTGGAAGGCCTTAGGACCCAGGGGAGAATGAGGCAGCTGTGCTGACAGGAAACCAGCAGGATGGGTGTTAAAAGGAAAAGCCACAGAGCAGAGCAGCAGGGTAACCACAGGGGTGGCTCACACTGTTTCTGACAAGGCAGAGACTCTCACGGGGGTAGGAAGACAGCTCTGCATCTGTACACCTTTTAAAAATGGAACCCCGTGAACAAATTAGCCAGTAAAAAAGTTAATAAATGATAATTAGAAGAAACCAAAGCCCAAACCCAGGGAAAGGAGTGCCAGGTTCAAGGGCTCCCAATAGCAGGTCTGCCCTAGCATCCCAGTAGCTCAAGCGTCAACTCAAAATTTTTTCTTTTTTGAGACAGTGTCTTGCTAAGTGGTCCACCCTGGCCTTGAGCTCACAATCCTCCTGCCTCAGCCTCTTGAGTGCTGGGATAATAGGCACACACCACCACTCAGCTTTAAGGCATAAGGCACTGGATCCCAGCAAGGCCCTGGAGCACCCACCTGTATGTGGCGACAGTCATGTCCACGGGCAGGGAGCTGGATCCTGCGGAAGGTGATGGGGCACTTTAGGGACACCTTGATAGCCGTCTGCTCTACCCCGTCCTCTCCGTTGGGCCCAGGGGTGCCAGGGATGGTACCGCTGCTGAAATTCCGCTTTACTATCAGGGACGGGGAAAAGGACCTGGGTGAGGCTGTGACCAGGGACACAGCCAGGGAGCCATCACCACTCCACTGATACTGTGCCTAAGTCCCCGGAGGTGGCCACCATCCCCAGCGCTGAGCTATGGGCTGGAGAGAAGACAGCCCCCGGTGCTGAGGACAGCCACTGGGCCAGGCAGAGGCAGAGATGGGGACACTCACTCTTGGTGATGCAGTGTTCTGCAGGCAGCAAGCGCTTCTTGAGAAGGCCCTGCAGCACGGAGCGCACGGATGGGCGGTGCACCAGCTGCAGCACGAAGAGGTGCGACTGCAGAGGAGACATGGTTTGGTCCAGGCGACATGGTGGAGAGGCAGTGGCCAGGGTGAGGGGCCGGGACAGTGCATGCCTAGCAGCCAGGCCCCCACTGCACAGCTGGGATGCTCTCTCTTTCTCCCCTGGGCCCGGCCCCTGCCTCAGCTCTGGCCGCACCACACCTGTCTCCACAGTCCTTGTGCATCCAGCACTGGCGCTGCTCACCCTAAGTCGCCTGTGCATCCCCCCACTCATGTAACCCCCTTGACCCCAGGTCTGAGTTAAAACCTCAAGGGTCCCACAGAAGGTGGCATCTGACTGCCCTGGCCGCAGGCCCCCTGGCCCACAGCAACCTGGGATGCCTGGCCCGAACTTACCCACTGCCTGCTTCTTCTTACATACACAGTGTGAACCCCAAATCTAGAAAACTGCATCTAACCAGAATGCTCCTGGGGCTCCAAGAAGGTGGTAATAAGAAGCAAGGTCTTGGTTCAAAGATAAAACCTGGACAGTCACTGGGAGCCCCTCCCAGCCCCGCCCTCTCCTAGCACTCACGCAGCAGCAGGCAGTGACTGTGATCTGGATGGTGTTTCTGCCCGGCTGGCACACATGCTTCAGGTAGAGTGGCTTGTGCGAGGTCTTGTTGTCGCCCCGCTCAATGGAGAGCGGCGTGGCGTTGACGCTGACTTGCACTGAGGCCGGCCAGTTCGTGTTCATCTGGCGGTCCTCGTGGTGGTAGCACTTGAACTGCAGCTCGAGGTCGGGCCTGTGGAGGGGAGGTTGAGGCCAAGGGCGGGGATGGGGCTGGGGTGTGGGAGGACTGGGTCCCCACGGGGCTCACCGCAGCATCAGGGTCTTGTACACCGAGTCACGCAGCTGGAAGACGTGGTTGCTGACAGCCAGGTTGTGCTGCAGGCGGAAGGGCTCCAGGACCACCCCATCCCTCACCGGGAAGGTCAGCCGCAGCTCATCACAGGGGCCGCCTCCTGGGGGCAGGCACAGGCCATGAGAAGGGTCAGGCCCAGGGGCCCGGACAAGCCTGGCCTGCGGTTCCTCCCTTGAATGGTGACAGGAGAGGATCCCAACCCAGACAGTTGTGTAAAGAGAACTGGTGTGAGCAGGCACCTGCCCTCAGGTACCTCTCAGGTTTCAGGGCCCCACTCCTGCTGTCCTGGTCACCCTGAAAGCAGGGATTCTGAACAAGAGAGAGACTGTAGGGGGTCAGAAATCCCCTGAAATTGTACACAAAATCTCATATGTGATGGCTATTATTCCAGACACCCACAGGGCCACAAACAGACCAGCCTGGCAGGGAAGGGCTGTCTTGATGAAGAAACCCTGGGTTTTCTGGGGAGCCAGAAGCTCCCTTGGCCCCCCACCCCAGCTTGTCGTTGTTGCTGGAGAAGAAACACTCACCCGCGGGTGAGGGGTGCAAGGTGCTGAGGCCCGGCTTGAGGTCAGGCAGGAAGGGAGACTTGACCTCCTGGCTCGGGGACATGTAGGGCACACCACTGCTGGGTGTCATGGGTGGCGTAGGGTTCCCTGGCAGCGGGGAGCTGGGGTAGCCAGGGACAGTCCGGGCAGGCTGTGGGGGTTGAGCAGTTAGCAGGGGGGCCAAGTGGGGTGCCTGCCCTGGGAGCCTCCCAGCAGCCCACCCAGCCACACCCCGTACCCCGCTCAGGCCCGGCTGGCTATAGCTCACGCTGGCCCCATTGAAGCTGGCGCCCTGACCGTTGAACTGCTCCGTGGGCTGTGGGAGAGAAAAGTGAGTGCTCCTGGTCTGGCTTGCCCCAGGATAGGTCCCCTGGGCCTGAGGCCAGAAGCCCAGCACAACGGGGTGCTGAGCTGCCTGTTCTTCCACGCTCTTGGACACCCCACATAATCTACAGGGAACACTGCTGTTACTGCTGCAGAAAAAGGAGGGAATGGGTACATGAGAGCTGCAAGGATAGGGCTGTTCATACTTCCTCCTCTCCTTCCACTGTTTCCATTGTCCCCACAACCCAGTAAGCACAGAGGACCTGTCCCCTCAGTGGCTTCCCTGCAGCACTTAAGGGACATCACAATGGCTTGGTACATGCACCCAGTGCGTGTTCCTTTCTGAACTGCACACTCTGACCTCTGGGATCCCGTGAAGCTCTACCCATTCTTCCCAACCTGTCATCCCTCCAGGGTGGGACTGCCTCAAGGTCCCTGTGGTGGCCCAGGGGAAGCCAGCCCTACCTTGTAGTGCAGTCCCGTGGGGCCAGGCGCAGGCAGGGACTGGCCTATGCCCTGCTGCAGGGGTAGCCTGTGCCCAGGGTAGGAGGGGGCGGGGGCGGGAGGCTGCCCAGGGCCGGGGGCATACTGGGCAGTGCTGGGCGTATACTGGCCGCCTTGCAGATACTGCTGCCCTGGATATACCTGCAGGAGAGGGACATGCCCAGGAGAGAAGGTGTGAGGGCTGAGGCACTGGTGGGCACAGCCCTGGGTCCTACTGGGCACAAGGTGTTCTCCTTGCAGAAGGTGCTCTTCCTGCACCTCTGCGGGTGCTGGGAGGGGCGGGGCAGCCAGACACTCACCTCAGAGTAGGTCCTCTTGACCCCAGGTCGGGGCAGCGGCTGGGCCTGAGCAGGCCCTGGGTAGCTGTGCTGGGGCAGACGCTGCCCTGCATACAGAGGTGTCAGGCCCGCTGCCCGGGTAGGGTTCATGGCCATAGGGGAGAGGGCAGAGGGGCCTATCATCCCCCCCATGCCAGTAGGGTTCATGCCGGGGGGAACGCTGGGACCCCGGGGCCCTCCATGCTGTAGAAACTGGCTGTTGAATGACTGTCCGGGACCCATCTGGGAAGAGAAGAAAAAGGCATGATCCAGGCAATGCCCACAAAGGGCTCCACAAACCCATCAGCCCCCCAGCTCCACGCCCAAAGAGGACTCTGGAAACCTGATGGCCGCCCCTTGCTGCACAGGACCCCAACTCTCTCCCGCGAGTCCTCAGATGCCACCACCTCCCCGATAGTCCCCTGGGGTCCTTGGTGCTGGCCATGGTATGACATCTGCTGGGACACCTCACCGCTCCATACTGGCTCAGCTCCTGGCTCTGCTTTTCCTGCAGGGCAGCCACGGTGGCAGTGGCAGTGGCGGTGGCCGTGGCTGCAGCAGCAGCCATGGCGGCTGCGGCTGCTGCTTGTGTGAAGTCAGCAGAGGGTCGTGTGGCATGTGACGGGAGTCCCAGGCCCCCTGGGCCACCCGCATACCTACAGGGGACACAGGACAGCCATGTTCTTTGCATCAGGGAGCCCGTGCTTTCCGGGCCCTCAGGGTGGCTGCTGGAGCCAGTGGGGAAGCAGAGGCCACAATGTGCCCACCGGGCTGCTTCTGCCCCTGCCAGGTGAGGCCCCTGCTTACCCAGTGGTGAAGCTGGGGCCCCCAGGGTAGCCCCCACGGCCATACACGCCTTGCTGCACGTAGCCCTTGCTAGCACCACCTTCGGCAAAGGCCTGCTGTCCCAGGCACTGTGGGGAGGTCAAGGCAGAGCTGCCACCCGCCACGCCAGGCATCATGGTGCTGCCAGGGGGGCTTCCTGCAGGGCCCATGGGGTTCCCCAGAACCTACAAGGAAGTGGGAATCACGAGAGGGAACCAGCCACAGCTCTGCAGCAGGTGAAACCAAGAGGTCTGGCCAGGGAGGGGACAGTGCCTTTCCACAGGCCGGGGTAAGACACCCACAGCAGGCACAAGGCCCAGCACTCAAGTGCTGGAGGCCAGGAGCCACCTGCACCCCAGGGCCCCCACTCCTGGCTCCCAGGGTCTGAGGAGGCTCTGGCTATCTGGCCTGGGGCCCCACAGGGCTCACCTGGCTCTGTGTTGCGTTGCTGACTCCCCACACGGTAGTGACCACGGACAGGGACCCGGCAGGCTGAGTGGCGCTCTGTTGCCAAGGCACAGACTCGTATGCAAATGAACCATCACTGCAGGGAGAGCGGCTAGTGAGGCCACTGTGCCAGAGTGGGCCCAGGGCCTGTGGGGGCGGCCACAGGGACCACACTCACCCGTGTGGTGTGGGGGGCAGGGCAGGTTTCATGGGGTTCATGGAGTTCATTGGCGACAGAGCAGCCTGCAGGCCGGGTCTGCCGGTGTGTACCTGGGACTCTGCTGCTCTGGCTGCTGGCAGGAGGGAAAGGACACACGCTCAGGTGCAGAGCTGAGGGATCCCAGGGCCAGCAGGCCTGCCCACCCCATCTAGAAGCCAGGAGGAAGCCTGTGACCTGGCCTCACTGCCGAGAGCTCCAGGTCTCCCTGGACAGCTGCTGGCTCCCAACACGGTGTACTCTGCCCACACCAAGGCTGGGACACCATGCACAGCCTCTGCCTAATGACAGGGACTAGAGGACCCCTCAGGAGGGCCACTGGAGACTATGGTGGACATGAGTGGACAAGCAGTGCTGGTCCCCATGGGCCCTTCTTTCGACAATACAGGGCAAGTTTCCAACAGAGCTGGGACAGCCAGCCTGACATGCAGAGGGACCCTGATATGGGGTTGCTGGGGGCACTGTGGGGACTGTCTTGGGCCTGTTCTCCACTCAGTGAGCTAGTGTGGTGGTGGCAGGGGAACCACACCTCCAGGCTGTGTCCAAGTGCCCACTGCTGCTCACTGCCAAGGCAGCACCCCCATAGCACTACTCTTGGCCTTTATACGTGATGGGCCACCTCCATGTACACTCTGCCTGGCCTGACCCCCAAGGGCACACAGACCCAGTGGGGGTGGCCCTGCAGGACTCATTTTGGGCCTCATTGTCCCACCGCGGCACGTTGGCCTTGGTGGCCTCCACCCGGCCAGTGCAGCACCCACAGGGCCTCTCTCTCTCCTAAGAGCAGAGGCCATTCCTGTGTGTGGACCAGGGGCCTCGCCCTCAGCCCAGCACTGGTGAGGCAGGACCAGCAGGGCAGATGGGCACAAGGGAGAGGCCTCCGGGCTGACTGGTCCAGGCCCTGGTAGAGAAGAGGCCATAGGGCAGGGCGTGGGGTGCCCTCCCTTGGGTATGCCCCGCTGACCCAGGCCAAGTGCTGCCCCTACGCAGAAGCCAAAAAAGGCAGGGAGCCAGGAGAGCTCAGCCAGGCTATCAAGGGTGGCACCCGTCCCACAGCCTGGCCAGGGTCTGCGACCTTGTGCAGAGGTCCTGCCAGCTGGCAGACTCCTCTCCAGACCTGCTGGATGGGGCCTGGAGCGACCCACAGGTTTCAACAATCAATATGGCCATCAGGACCATGAGTCAGAACATAGGGGACAGGGCCACCATCAATGGAAGACTCTGTTTGTTTGTCTGTCTTTTGGTACCAGGGATGGAACACGAGTCCTTATGCTTGCGATGCAGGTGGCAGAACCACTGAGCTAAATCCCTGGCCCCAAGGGAAAACTCTGGACAGGAAACAGCCACATGACAAGTTGGAAGGTGCAGACAGTTCAGAGCAGGGAGGAGAGACCTCCCCTCAACAAACTGCAGGGACAGAGAGGCAATAGAAAGTAAAGCAAACTAACAGCACAGGGTGAGGGACACAGGGGAGGGAGCTCAATGTGTGAGGCCCTAGGACTGCAGAAGAAAACAACAAAACAAAAACAACCCAAACTTTACAATTTATGCTGAAGTTAACTCAAAATGGATTTGGCCTTTCCAGGTTTAAAAGTGAAATACCAATCTATAAAATGTTTAGGAAAATGCTTGGAAAAAGTCTTTGGGGCATAGGCCAGGCAGATCTCTTAGATTTGACACCAAAAAGCATGATCCATGAGAGAACAACTATGATAAACTGGGCTTGTCAAGATTTCAGACTTTTTATTTGTTGAGACAGGGTCTTACTACGTAGTTCAGGCTGGCCATTAACTCAGTGATCTTCCTGCCTCAGCTTCCCAAATACTAGGATTCCAGGCATGCACCCCCACCCAGCTTAACATTTCAAACTTTGGGCTGGGGATTTAGCTTAGTGTTGCCTCATTAGCAAGCACAAGGTCCTGAGTTGGATTTCCACACCCTCCAAAAATTTTTTTCAAATTTTTCTTCTGTGAAAGGCTAGCTAGGAGGATAAAAAGACAAGCTAAGGACAGAGAGACACTTACAAACTCCATATCCAACAAAAAGGGCTGGTATCTAGAATGTGTAAGGGATTCTCAAAGTTAGGACAAAATCCAATTAGAAAACAGGCAAAAACCAGGAAGCTGCACTTCACCAAAGAGGAAATACAGATGGCAAATAAGCATATGAAAAGAGGCTCAGGTCACTGTCAGTAGAGAAATGCAAATTAAAACCACAACGAGATATGGCTGTATCAGAATGGCTAAAATAAAAAGCAGTTACATCACTAGGTGCCATCAAGGAAGAACCCAATCTCACCTTGGCTGCTGGTAGGACAGTAGTGTGATAAAGCCATTCTCCAAGTCTGGCCATTTTTCTATTGGTTCTTTTGAAACAGGGTCTCACTAGTACTTCATACTGGCCTTGAATTCACTATGCAGCTCAGGCTGGTCTCCAGCTCCTAGTGACCCTCCTGCCTCAGCCTCCAGAGTGCTGATATCAGGCGAACACCTCCACACCCGACTAAGCACACCAGCAAGTGCACTTCTGGGCATTCATCTCAGGCAAATGAGAAGTCAGGTTCTCATAAAAACCTGTACATGAATGCTTCCAGCAGATTTATTTACAGTAGCCAAAGAATGGAAACAGCCCAGATGTCTTTCAATGGACAAAGGGTTAAACCAACTGTGGTTCATCCATAGGGGAAGCCAGAGAAAGGAATAAACCAGTGCTAACACAATGCAGCCAGGTTCAGTCTCCAGGGAAATGTGCTGAGTGGAAAAAGCCAATCCCAAAAGGCAACATACTGTATGGTCCTGTCATTTGGCATTTTGACATGACAAAATCAGGGAAATGAGAACAGATTGGTGGGGGAGGCACTAATCTCCCGATTCTGTCATTTTGCCAGGAGGGCAGTGGGTGTGAATCCCAGCCAGCAAAAGGAGGAGCCTGCAGATTATACCCCTGTAGTGTCCCAGGATAAGGATGTAGCAGCTTTGTAAAATGTTACCACTGGGGAAACCCGGGGAAGGATACAAGGGGCCTCACTATGCTATTTGTTGGAACTGCCTATGACTACAATTATCTCAAAATAAGAACTTTAATTACAAAGCCACCACCACCACCAGCAGCAGCTTACCTCTTTCTCTCTGAAGAGCTGCCTAGACAGCTTCCCCACCCTAGCTGGTTGGGTCAGCCCAGCCTGCTCAGCTGTCCCAACACACATGGGGGAGGAAACGCGGCAGGCAGGCAGAGGAGCCCCTGCCTCATTTCAGGTCACCCAGGGCAGCAGCTCCTCAACTGCAAAAAATCCACATCAGCTCTCAGACTGCCCAGTACCACCCTAGCCACTAGGATGGGCCAGGGTCTGAGTCTTAAATTTCTCACTTTGTAGTGAGATCCTCCCGTCCAGGAAGTGCAGAGACCCAGGGCAGGTGTAGGGCAGGGAGGGCCCACATGGCACTGGGGAATTCCACCCATGATGCTCCTCTGCTGTGGACAGAGACCACAGACATTTCCAGTTCCCCCTGAGCCTTTTGTCTGTGTGGGGAGGGTTTCCTGCTGGGATCCCGAACCCATGCCTCCAGCCACTCTCTGGGAAGCCCCCCAGTCTCCAGGCTGGTCTCCTGTGAATCTCTGCTCCTGACAAACAGAGGAATTCAGTGCATGCAGGGCAGGAAAGCCAGCTGGAAGCAAGGCCCCCAGCAGAGCTGCTCTGGCCTGGGTCACTCTAGAAGGCCACAGGCTTGCTGGGAGTTAGGGCTCATCTTCCTCCAGAAAGAAAACTTCAAAAAAACTTACTTTCCACAGACACCCCCCCAGGTATCCCAGAGCAGCTGCACCCCAACTTCCCTGGCTCCATCCATGTCTGACTGTGTGGGCAGCTCAGAGCAGGACCGAACAAGTGTGGTAGAATCCAGAAAAACAGCCCTATGGCAGGCCACCCCTCCCCAAAAGGCCACAAAGAGGACTCACTACCTCCAAGGACCCAGGGTCAGACCCTCACCAGAGACCCTGGAATCCAAAAGTCTCAGAAAAAATGACAGCTCTAGAGTGCAATGGTTGGTGCATATAGGGATGCTGGGGCAGGATGATCTCTTGAGCCCAGAACTTCTGGCCCTCCTGGACAACACAGGGAGAGCCTCCTGTCCGAAACAAATCAAGGACAGATCTGGAAAGGGCAGGAATGGGGTCTTCAGTGTCAAAAGGGAGTGATCACGTGGGGGAAGAGGTCAGAAGTCCTGTTTCTCATCTGTGGGACACCCACCCTGAACCATTTGCGGCTAAAAGTCAGGATGGCAGAGCTCCCTCAGAAGTCCAGAAAGACCCCCGACCAGTGGCCAGGTGAGGGACAGCCTAGTGAATGGCTGAAGGGACAACCCAAAACCTGGTGCCTTCGGCTGAACACATGTAAAATGAGAATCTTCTGGCCATCCTGGGACTGAGGACACATGACAGCCTCCATGCCAGCAGCCCTTCAAGAGCAACCCCAGTAATCAGGATGCTCCCCAAACATGTTGGGCCTGTCCTTCGGAAGGCTCCACCTACTTCTCTTCATTTACACTTCCAGCCTGTAGCCAGCCCTGGGTGTGAGAGGTCAGCACTGCCCGGTGAGGTCAGGGTCCCCTCACTTCTCCTATTACAGCTCTCAAGGGAGTGCCAGGGGAGGCCCTTGGCCCTCTCCAGCCAGGACTGAGTGTGAGGCTGTGGCACCCTCCCCGTGTGCACACCGTCTTAGATCCAGTCACATGTTCCCTGTCCCTGTGAAATCTTCTGCAATAACACAAATACCTTAAAGAAGACATCACCACGATTGCCTGACTGCACGAAAGAGGGCACCCTGGGGAGAAGGCGGGGGGGGGGCAGAGGCGGCTTCGGGTGGTGGGACAGGACAATGAGAAAGGCCAGGGCAAGTGGGAGGTGATCACTGGCTGGTGAGGCCAGGGCACCGGTACCCCAGGAGAGCAGGGAACCCACGCGTCTGAGCTTCAAGAGATCCGATCTGGAAAAGGGTGTCCCCGTGAGAACCACGGCCGGGGCGGGGGACAAGTCATCGCCGTCCCTGACCAGAGGCCCCCAATCCTTCCCAGCCTCCCACTGGCCACCGCTAAGGTGAGACCCCAGGTCGGGCCTGGCGGCCTCCTCGCCAGCCTCTGACAAAGGCCTGGGAGGGGCGACGGCCCGACCCGTGATCGTGCGTGATGGGTCGGCAGGTGGGCGCCCTGCCCGGCTGCGATCCCCGCGAGGACGC